ACCCGCGGGTTCAGGCAATCCACTCACCTCAGCCTCCCAAAGGCGTGGGATTACAGGCTGAGCCACCGAGCCCGGCTGGCAGCACACTCTTATCACAGCAATTGATTCAGATGGCACAATGGTACCTTCGTCACTAGAGCCTATCTCTGAGAAAGGGCTCTCTGGGCTCTCTGTGCTCCCGTGGGTTGCTGTGGGTCAGCGGTGCTGCCTGGGACTGTGTGTGATACGCGTGTGACTTTCAAGAGCATGTTATTTTTGTTCTTATTACCTTCACTCCCAGAATTGAGAGGGCAGTCTTTCATGAGCATACAGCATGAGACTAGAAACCCTTTCCAGGGCACGTGAGAACTGCCCAGTGCCTCAGAGGCCTGCACCTAATAAGTGTCAGCACTAGTGCCAGGGCTGTGGTCTCAAGGTCTCTAAGAGTGAAGCTGAGTATTCTATATCCAAGTATCTCTGTAGTTAAACTTCATCAACCAGTCTCTGAAAATTTGGAGATGTGCCTAACCTTATATGAAGCAATCTTTTTTTTTTTTTTTGAGACAAGGTCTTGCTATGTGGCCCAGGCTGGAGTACAGTGATGTGATCATACCACATTGTAGCTTCAACCTCCTTCTGGGCAGAAGTAATCCTGCCATCTCAGCCTTCCGAGTAACTAAGACTACTGCCATGTACCACCATGCTCAGCTAATTATTTAAATTTTTGTGGAGATGGAGGTCTCTTTATGTCGCCCAGGCTGGTCTTGCACTCCTGGGCTCAAGCAGTCAGTCCTCTTATTTCACCCTACTGTAGTGCTGGGATTACAGACATGAGCAACTGTGCCTGGAGAAATAGAAATTTGCATTTCCTCTAGTTTATCCTTAACTTTCTTGTTACCTTTTAGTTTATATAAGTTTGACTGCACTGCCCCTTATCTCTGGCGCCCGGGCCACTGTGTTGTCACTCGTCCTATGTTTCTGTCTGCATTTCACTCCTCGTGTCAGTCTCACCTATGTTGTGGATTCCTTGCTCCTGGGTGGGGGCTCTTGCTGTCAGATGCCTTCTGTCCATGCTACACATGTCTTGTCTTAAACACCCTCTTCAGGGGCTCATTGGGGGGAAACATCCTGACAACTATATTTTCTCCAAATCAGTCATCATTTAGGATGAGTGGCTATTCTGTTCATTTTTGAAGTATTTTACTAAGGACTGACCTGTGGTCACTGGGTCTGCCTAGTGGCCATTTGCTTGTCCAGACAAGAGTGAGATTGGTAGGACATGGGTCAAAATCTTAACACCCAGCTTCCAGCAGATAGTGCTTTTCAGAACACTGTGGGCTCATTATAGCCAAAGAAAATTGTAAGCCATAAACCTAAGGCCATGTCCAAAATCTGACAAGTCTGTTTGCTTCTGAGAAGCATTCCCTCCGGCACATGGCCATTTGATCTGATAGTATACCAATTGCTACTTTAACCACCTTCCCCGCACAGTGTTAGCCATCAGTGAATGATGATCAGGATTCACTTCTGAGCAACTGAGCTCAGGTTCATTTGAGTACAGAGGTTGAAATGTCTAATTTCTCTGAGCAGTTGAGAGGGTTGTTCTTTCCTTTGGCTATGCTTTCAGATGGTCCCTTTCTCAGGCCTGCAGTTCCCTGTCACAGCCCAAGTGTGTTTTCCCTGCCTCATGGACCCTGGAGCTGAGCCACACAACAAGTGCTGGTGAAAGAGGGCAGAAGAGGAGCCTGTTTGCTTCCTCTGAAAGTCGTGGCACTGCGGAAGTATCAGGGCCACTGACGATGGAGGCAGGCTGGAACACACCTGGTGGGTGTGGGTGTGGGTGTGGGTGTGGGCAGGCGGCCCTGAGCCGCACTCTCGCCTCTGTGTGCCTCATTTTCCTCCTGAGGGCAGGACTGGTTGTTGTGATGATCAGAGGAACTGGCCATGTGTGGACCTCGCACTCTGTGAACACTGGCTCCTACACAGTCATGCCGTGGAACACACAGCCAGAGCCTCGCAGGATCCTGAAGCGTGTTTGAATGTTTTGATGGGTACACACGTGTACACACACACACACACACATCTACACACACACATTTGCCAGCGCTACCTGGTGAGAAGCTCTGTAAGGCAGGGTGCGTGTTGACGTCCAGAGAGCCCAATCCTGTGGGTGCACGCTGGCCCTGACCCACCTCTGTGCTCCCCATCCAGGTGTTGGCGGATGCTGTCTCGCGCCTGGTCCTGGGTAAGTTCGGGGACCTGACCGACAACTTCTCCTCCCCGCACGCTCGCAGGAAAGTGCTGGCAGGAGTTGTCATGACGACAGGTAAGCATGTTGGTTTCGTGTGTCACCTGCCTGTCTTCATGTTTGGCAAATGTGAAATGCTCTCAGTCTAGAAAGACACTGTGACACACCAACAGGAGATGGTTTCTTCTTTTTTTTCCTTCAAAATGTCTACCATATCAAGTGTAGGGACTCCACTTACAAACCTTTTTTCCCCCTAAATGTTCATCTTTTTCACCTAAGTTTGTTTCAGCTGGAGAAAGTGATTACTTTAACATTTGATTCCTATCATCTTTATCATGAGAATGGCCTCAATCTTCTCTGGAAAACAGCAAGAGGCTTACTGATTCTTCCTGTATTTGAAACCAGGACCTGTCTGATGTATCAACTAATATTAATGCTGCCAGATATGTTTCCATGTGACTTTTATGGAGGAGGTAGAAAACCCTAGCATGAGTAGAGAATCCCTCGAAAAGCACAATTTAGGATGGCAGAAGCAACCCTGTTAAATGCATCTAGTGGTTCTTAGTAGTGAAAGGGACCCCCACATTATCTCCATACCATGGGAGTAACAGCATGCAGCAGCAGATCATGCCTTGAAAAAGGGAGCCGCATCCACGGTCAGTACCAGGCTCCTGGGGTAGGACAGGACTCAGGGAGAGGACTGCCATCCTTTGGGCCCTCTCTACACCTGGCATCTGCTCATCCCAACCTGGAATGCTGGGTGTAGGAAGCAAGTCTTAGAGGCCAAAGAGGGAGGGAACTGGGAACGGTTGTCTATGCACCTGCCAGCCATGAAGAATTTCTAGTTCTCTGTGAGGGTGACCAGCTTGTCCCTTCCACCTGAGGGGCTCACCTCTCTGAATACGGAAGGGGCTTGATTCTCTAATCCCTCTGCATTGACCTCCCCCCTCCCCCCACTTGCTGCCCTGATAAACATGAGTGCAGTGACAATGACAGATGGGTTTTTTTTTTGGTCATATGTTTACTTTGGCACACTTAAGAGTGTACTGGGGAGGAGGAAGTGCCTTCAGCAGCAGTTGAGGGCTGCAGTTTTTTTTTGAGTTGGAGTCTCACTCTTGTCACCCATGTTAGAGTACAGTGGCACACTCACGGCCACTACCGCCTTGACCTGCTGAGCTCAGGCGATTCTTCCGCCTCAGCATTCCAAGTAGCTGGAACTACAGATGCCACCATGTCCGTTTAGTTTTTGTGACTTATTGTAGAGATGAAGTCTCACCAAGTTGCCCAGGCTGGTCTTGAGCCCCCGGGCTCAGGCAATCCTCTCGTTTGGGCCTCCCAAATTTCTGGGATTACAGGCTGAGCCATTGCACCCGGCCTGGCTTTCAGTTTTTATTCTAATGTTTGACAGCTGTATTTTCCTCCCTCTTCTGCTCTCTCTTTACTGTTATCTTTTACGTTCCCAAAAGGTGAGCATGTCAACCACTTTAGAGAGATCCATTATGTAATTTCCTGAGTAAGATTCTATGCATCCTCTAGCAACACAAAGAATCTTACTCATGTTCTTTCATTCAGCTTTTAAAAACATCCTAGAAGAAGGTTACGTGGGAGTATTTTACATCTTGGAGTGTATTTCACTTGAGACCATTTGCTCAAAGCTAAAATGTACACCTGAGGCCCGTACCATGTGTACTTGCACAGGTTCTGACCTCAGGCAGCGAGTTCAGAGACTCTTATTAACTGCATGGCCTTGGGCAGGTCATGAGCTCCCTCCCCAAGCGCCCCCCAACCCCATGCCTTAGTTTCCATATTTGTAAAGTGGAGACAGTAACCTGAGCCTCAGAGAATGTGGGGGAATGCAGTGAGGATGATTTACCCAACATACCTGCCACCTGGTATGTAAGTCATTCATTTAGCTGAATGAGTGCAAGTCTACCATCAGGTGGAAGAGTCTTTGCATTGTGTCTCTGGTCAGTGTCCATTACAGAGTTGATACAAGGTGACTCCTCTGAAAGTTCACCACTGCTTATGATTTCACCACCAATACAGATAAAATGGCAGTAGATGACTAATGAAACACTGAGTTCAGTTTTCCTTCTTAGTCCTCTGGATGCCTTTAAGCCATCCCTCCTATCCTCTCTAGTGCTTTGATATTTATTGTCAAGAATAATTACCAGACCAGTTAGTCTGCCTTTACATGGTGTTTCCTGCCTATATTCTAGTGGTGAATGTTCGGGAAAAGACTACTGTGTTCTGGAGAAAATGACTGCCTTGAGTTTAGAATCTGTATACTAAATAGGAAGAAAGTTAGCTTCCCAGAAATGTCACAAAGCCAGTCCTAAGTAAGAACTTATATGCAGTGCATACGTTTGCCCAATTAGAAATTAGGTGGTAAGAAAATGTACAGAGATTGAGTCACGGAGGCTACATGTCAGACCCCAGAAGCACAGTTGGGCAAGCGTTACTGTTAATTATGGAAAATAATTTTTCTTTTTTTTTTCAGGCACAGATGTTAAAGATGCCAAGGTGATAAGTGTTTCTACAGGAACCAAATGTATTAATGGTGAATACATGAGTGATCGTGGCCTTGCATTAAATGACTGCCATGCAGAAATAATATCTCGAAGATCCTTGCTTAGATTTCTTTATACACAACTTGAGCTTTACTTAAAGTAAGTTTATCAAGAAAATAAGTAAAAGAAGCTGTTTTTAAAAACTGTTGGGCAACCCCCTCGGGTCCCCTCCCATTGTGGAAGCTTTTCTGTTCTCTCAATAAGTCCTGCTTAAAAAATACAAAACACAAACTGTTCTTCTCCTATTAGAAAGCATTGCAAAACTTTCATTGTTTCTGTAATAACTGAAAATTTCTCAAAATAATAACTTTATCAGTAACAATAAATCTAGACCCCATTCTCCCATGATGCTCAAGCTATGAAATAGAGTTGACTAAATTATAAAATACATGCACACACACATATATATGTACCTACATGTGCATAACATGGTCATAAGTTTTAAGTCTGTGTTTAAGACTGTGATTTTGTTTTGTGCAGTATGATGTAAATAGAGCTTCCTAAACTGCCTGGTAAAGATGGTCATTTTTATTCTGGCCACAGCACCTAGAAAGAGCTACTCCTATGTTGGAATGGTGTTTCCTTACCAAGTCATCTTTTAACTGTAGTCTTTCTGTTCTGAAGTCGTGTTTGAGGAGAAGGAAAGGCTACTCTTGTTTCAGTGATATGCCCATTACTGAGTGGACAAGAAGTGTATTGATTACCATAAAATTGTAAAATGAATATGCTACTTTAGACTTATCTTTCTGCTGTTGAAAATATTGGCCTCTGAAAATCATTTTAACCTATGATAGACTGAATTTTTACTGTATACAGCTTTAAATGTTACTTTTGCAATTTTTTTCTTTTCAGTAACAAAGATGATCAAAAAAGATCCATCTTTCAGAAATCAGAGCGAGGGGGCTTTAAGTTGAAAGAGAACGTCCAGTTCCACCTGTACATCAGTACTTCTCCCTGTGGAGATGCCAGAATCTTCTCGCCACATGAGCCAATACTGGAAGGTATGAGACTAGACCTCATCAGTTGACAGCTTCTCAAGAAACCCATCACTATGTAGTTACAGATAAAAGGACAAATAAGCCGACATTGAGAGCCTTTACTCTTTTTTAAAAATTTTAGCCTTGAATGTGAATCTGACAAGAGTCTCTATAAAGCATTGAATTTTTTCTTCCCCATTAATAATTTAATTAGAAAATTTTAATAAATAAAAAATATTGATTCTAATTAACCAAGAAATTATAATGGAGCGTGGGTAGTAGATCAAAATTGTATCTGTATTTAGATTTGGATAATAACTATCGCTAAATCTGAGATGTATACAATTCTCCATATTTCTGATTAATTATAATTTACTGAATGTATAATTAAAGTGTTTGACTGAAATTTCAGAAGCAGGTAGACACCAATGAAAAGCAAGACCATTATTGCAATCACATTTTGCTCTGTCCTTTGCATATGAGGTTAGTGCTTTTGTTTTTTAGTAATTTGTGTCTACATCCTGTCTCCCAAGCTTGAGCATTATCTATTCCGTATAGGATATTTGATTACATTATTTTGCTTGGTTATAAAATCAACAGGCATACTCATTGTGGAAAATTGCTAAGTATTTTTAAAATATAAGAAAGAATATTAAAGTCACCCATATTCATATAACCCAGAAATAATCACTATGAATATTTTAGCATGGATTTATCCCTGTATCCATCTAGATTTATTTTTGAAATTTTATAAATACAAGGGAGAAAACATGCCAAATGCCGAGGGATTCATCACCTAGAATTGGCAAATGTTAGCATTTTATTCTATTTGCTTTGGTTTTTTTGTTTGTTTGTCTGTTTGTTTTTAGTTGGAGTCTCACTCTGTCGCCCAGGCTGGAGTGCAGTGGCACATTCATGGCCACCCCAGCATCAACCTGCTGGACTCCAGTAATCCTTCTGCCTCAGCCTCCCAAGTAGCCAGAACTACAGGCACGCACTACCATGCCTGGCTTATTTTTTAAATTTATTATAGAGACGAGGTCTCAGCAAGTTGCCCATGCTGGCAATCCACTCACCTCAGCCTCCCAAAGTGCTGAGAATGAGCTCTTTTCAATTAAAATGGAAGCCCCTTTCTCTCCAATCCCTAAGGAGACCACTTTTGTGAACTTGGTCTGTATTATTATATCCTTCCTGTTCAATTATGTATATATACTTATCTTGTATGTATATTTTGTATATACAGTGTAAACTTATGTATATATATGCATAAACTATATGACATTTTTAGAGTATTGTTAGATGTGTTTTTCAATAAGTTATATAGATGGGTTACTACTTGTGAGGTGTTAACCCTCTTTTTGTCTCTTAGAATCAGCAGATAGACATCCCAATCGTAAAGCAAGAGGACAGCTACGGACCAAAATTGAGTCTGGTGAGGGGACGATTCCAGTGCGGTCTAATGCAAGCATCCAGACGTGGGATGGGGTGCTGCAGGGGGAGAGACTGCTCACCATGTCTTGCAGTGACAAGATTGCACGGTAAGAATGGGTACACTGTGACCACCACCCTGCATGTGGGATTCGTTCGTGCTGTTGCTCAACTTCTTTTTTTCACAACCACTTGAACTTTGTCCCCATTCCCCACCCAGGGGGGAAGTATTCTTTGAAGGACTAAGGTTCTAAACAGGTGCTTTAGGGGCCACAGTGAGGGGTAATAGTGGGGCATCTCAGCTTTTATCATATACTTTTATATATAGGGTTCTAGGTTGAAGCAATGTGTTTAACATGCTACAGGCCATTTTTAAACTATTTGTTCCCCTCATCAGTAGTAGATGCAACTTTAATGGTCACGTTCACCGTTCAGTTAACATTTTGAGTGATTGATAGTTACATTTTAAAAATAACGTGAAACCCATCACAGACATTGTGTTTTGATTACAGAGAGCAGCCTCATGTTTTGGGTCTGGGTGTGTATTGGGCTTAGATTATGGGCTCTACAAATACACTTTTCTACTTAGCACATGCTTGGGAAATGTTAATCTCTCAGAAGCCAGAACTGATTTTAAAAAACTCATATCTTCAGATGCTGGTATCGGTTTCAGTAATTCTTCCTGGATTTTATTTTTATGTATGTATGTATGTATGTATGTATGTATGTATGTATGTATGTATGTATTTACTTATTTTGAGTCAGAGTACCACTCTGTCGCCCAGACTGGAGGGCGGTGGCACACTTTCAGCCACAGCAGCTTCAACCTGCTGGGCTCCGGTGATCCTTCCGCCTCAGCCTTCCAAGTAGTGGAAACTACAGGCACGTGCTACCACACCCAGCTAATTTTTGATTTATTGTAGAGATGAGGTCTCGCCAAGTTGTCTGGGCAGGTCTCAAACCTGTGGGCTCAGGCAAATCCACTCACCTCGGCCTCCCAAAGTGCTGGGATTGCAGACTGAGCCACTGAGCCCAGCCTGGATTTTATTTTTAAACTAATGTTTGTGTTTTTTAAATAACATATATAAATGGTGAAAATCATTCAATAGGAAAATTAAAAATCTCTCTTCAAAAAAAAAAAAGGTCAGGCACAGTAGCTCACACCCGTAATCTCAGCACTTAGGGAGGCCAAGGCAAGAGGATTGCCGGAACCCAGGAATTCGAGACCAGCCTGGGCAATGTGGTGAGATCTCATCTCTACAATAAATTAAAAATTAGCCAGGCATGGTGGTACATGCCTGTAGTCCTGGCTAATAGGAGACTGAAGCAGAAGGATCTCCTAAATTCAGAAGGTCAAGGTTGTGGTGAGCTGTGACTGTGCCAGTGAACTCCAGCCTGGGTGACAGAGTGAGACTTTGACTAAAAAAAAAAACACCAAAAAAACCTCTCTCTTCAGCACCCTGCTATGGTGTCCATGGTGAAAGGGTCTTGACTACTCTTCTAGGAGTCAAAACTAACTTACATGAGTTCACGTGCACATCTTTTCAATTGTTTATAAGCCCTCTCTGTTGATTTTCTTCAGTGGGTCTTGTCAGGAAGCCTCAAGTACAGAGAGCTGGATCAATCATGAACTTTGGGCCATTCTCCCATCACAGATGCCCACTAGGATGTGCTTACTTACTATGTGTACTTCTAGTCTACCTCTACATGTGTTTATGTGTGTTTTTAAAAAATACACAATAGAGTTATTTTGAGGGCATTTATATATATTTTATTAATTTATAGAAATGATATTATGCTAGAAATCTCATTTTTTATAATGCCCCCCCTTCCTACCTCTTTCTTTTTCTTCTTTCCTTCCTTCTTTCTCTCTTTTTCTCTATTTCTTCCTCTCTCTCTCTCTCTGTCTCTCTCTCTGAGTTATCACACCCAGAGTAATACCAGATTGCACACCACAGTAGTCACTAGTGGACACATCAACAGTGCATTAAGTCAGTTTCCGCCACACTTTATAAACTGGTATCTCATGGTTTTAATTTGCATTTTTCTTATCACTAGGAATGCTAAGCATCTCTTCAATTCTTTGTTAACTGTTCATCTTTCACCTTCTTTGAATAGCCTGTTTATATCCTTCTTTGAATAGCCTGTTTGAATAGTCCATTTATATTTTTGATGTTATGACTTTTTCTTCTTAATTTGCAGAGTTCCTTCCTAATTCTAAGGTTTATATTGTAATCCTTAATCCTCTGAGAACATTCAGTGTCTTCTCAAAGTCCTTTCCCTCTTAAATGGTCTTGTCACCCTGTTGAAGTACATTTAATCATATATACATAGACCTTTACAATGAAAATTACAAAACACTGCTCAAAGAAATCAAAGCTGACACGAACAAGTGGAAAAATATCCCATGCTCGTGGATCGGAAGAATCAACATTGTGAAGATGTCCATCTTACCTAAGGCAATCTACAAATTCAATGCAATACCCATTAAATTACCAACAACATTCTTCTCAGACCTAGAAAAAACAACACAGGAATTCATATAGAAACACAAACGTCCAAGAATAGCCAGAACAATCCTCAGCAAAAGAAACAAAGCAGGTGGTATCACAATACCAGACTTCAAACTTTACTATAAAGCTACAGTCATCAAAACAGCTTGGTATTGGTACAGGAACAGGCATATAGATCAATGGAACAGAATTGAGATTCCAGAAGCAAAACCTCAATTTCTCAACCAACTCATCTTCGACAAAGCCCCCACCACCTACCAATGGGGAGAGGAGAACCTATTCAGTAAATGGTGCTGGGAAAATTGGCTGACCACATGCAGAAGATTGAAACAGGGCCCCTATCTATCCCCATGCACAAAGGTTAACTCCAAATGGATCAGAGACCTAAATATAAAACCTCAAACCATAAGAACCTTAGAAAAGAAAGGAAATACTCTCATGGAAATCGGAACTGGCATCCAATTCCTGTACAAAACCCAAAACCCACAGGACTTAAGAGAGAAGATAGACAAATGGGACCTTATTAAACTGACAAGCTTCTGCAAAGCCAAAGAAACCATCAAGAGAGCAGGGAGACAGCCTACAGACTGGGAAAAAGTATTTGCCAACTCTAGGTCTGACAAAGGCTTAACATCCTGGATCTACAAGGTACTGAAATGTACTGAAAAGAAGAAAACAAGCAACCCCATTATAAAATGGGCAAAAGATATGAACAGACACTTCACAAAAGAAGACATCCGAGCAGCCAACAAACACATGAAGAAATGCTCAACCTCACTAATCATCAGGGAGATGCAAATCAAAACCACACTGAGATTCCACCTAACTCCAGTCAGAATGGCAATTATCAACAACTCAAAAAATAACAGCTGCTGGAGAGGGTGTGGTGAAAAGGGAACACTTCTACACTGTTGGTGGGAGTGTAAACTAGTGCAACCTCTGTGGAAAGCAGTGTGGCGATTCCTAAAAGCTCTAAAAATTGACCTTCCATATGACCCTGCAATCCCCCTACTGGGAATATACCCTGAAGAACACAAATCACTCTATAAAAAAGATACCTGCACACGTATGTTTATCGCAGCATTGTTCACAATAGCAAGAACCTGGAAACAACCATGCTGCCCATCAAAAGAGGACTGGATTTAAAAAATGTGGTACATATACATGATGGAATACTACGCAGCCATAAAAAAGAACAAAATCATGAATTTCGCAGCAACCTGGATGGAACTAGAGTCTATAATACTGAGTGACCTCTCACAGAAACAAAGATCCGAATATCGCATGTTCTCACTCATGTAATGGACCTTGAACATCCAATGTAATACTATAAGAAAATGACTGACGGTACTGGGAAACTATGGGGGGAGGGAGATGGGATTAACAGTAGCAAATATCTGTCGGGGGATGGGAAAACACCTCTTATCAACAGGGTGCCTGAATGAAACGTAATTGTACACCTAACCCTTAACTGTACCCCACAAAACCATAATAAAAAATACTGATTAATTAATTTTAAAAAATTATATATACAAGGGTTTATTTCTAGGCTATTCTATTCCATTGCCATCTGTGTCTATCTTTATGCCAATGCCATACTCATTTGCTTACTATAGCTTTATAATATGTTTTAAAATCAGGAAGTATAAATCCTCCAACTGTATTTTTCTTTTTTTTATTATAAAGATGTGGGGGACAATTCAGGGTTAGGTGTATAAACTTTGATTATACAAGTAACCTTGTTGATGAGGTGTGCCCCTCCCTCCCCTAGCAGTTTTCCACTATTGCCAATCCCTTCTTTATAGGATTATAATTGTTCAAGGTTCGCTTATGAGTGAGAACATATGGTACTCTGTTCTTTGTTTCTGTGATAGGTTACTGAGTATGATCAACTCTAAATCCACCCAAGTTGCTGCAAAGTCCATATGTTTTTCCTTCTTTATGGCTGCATAATATTCCATTGTGTATATGTACCACATTTTTTAAAATTCAATCCAGCCTCAATGGGCAACATGGTTGGTTCCATGTTTTTGCTATTGTGAATAGAGCTGCAACAAACATACATGTGCAGCTATGTTTTTTGTATAATGATTTGAGTTCCTCTGGGTATATTCCCAATAGGGGAATTGCTGGGTCATATGAAAGGTCAATTTCAAGTTCTTTCAGAAGTAGCCACACTGTCTTCCAAAGAGGTTGCACTAGTTTGCATTCCCACCAGCAGTGTAGAAGCATTCCTTTTTCTCTGCATCCTCGCCAGCATCTGTTGTTGTTTGTTTTATTAATGGTGGTCATTCTTTATGGGGTTAGGTGGTATCTCAGTGTGGTTTTGGTTTGTATTTCTCTGATGATGAGTAAGGCTGAGCACTTTTTGTCTGTTGGCTGCCTGCATATCTTCTTTTGAGAAGTATCTTTTCATGTCTTTTGCCCACTTTTTAATGGGGCTGTTTGTTTTTTTCCTTTCAGCACATTTGAGTTCTTTGTTGATCCTAGATATTAGGCCTTTGTCAGATATACAGTTGGCAAATATTTTTTCCCATTCTGTGGGCTGTCTCCCTGCTCTCTTGATGGTTTCTTTTGCTTTGCAGAAACTCATTATT